TTTTCTAAGCAGGCTGTATATTTTTTCTAAGCAGTCTGTATATTTTTTCTAAGCAGGCTGTATATTTTTTCTAATCAGGCTATATATTTTTTCTAAGCAGGCTGTATATTTTTTCTCCAAAAATTATTTTATTTCATTCCTTTTAGCGGCAACGTACAATCAATAGGTTTCACGCAATAGCGATAGGTATGAGCAATATACAGGGTGTCCCAAAAATGTTGGAGGTCGATTTCTTTTGCCGGGTTACAATAAAAGAATAGAAATTTTGCGACAACAGTAGTCACAAACGATAGAAAAATTCGTGCATTTCATTTAGAAAGTCTGGCGACAGACATTAAGGGAAATAAAAAACAAAAAAGAATATACACATAGAATCGAGCGAGCTCCTTCTCTTCGAAGTCGGTTAAAGATCGAATTCTCGTAGGAAAGAGACGCGAGTAGAACTAGATGCGATAAAAGATTCGCGTACACAAGAATATTTCGAGAACGGTGCCAGATACAAAAAAAAAACGATTCCCTGGGAAAAGATATTCTTCGATACAAAGGCAATCACGGAGCATTCATCTCTGCATGCAAATCACGCTCCCAAAGCCCTCTTTCTATTTAAAAATCCCTTCACTCGTTGATCCATCATCTCTACGGCAACAAGGTCTCGAATCACCCTCTGGAACGCCTGCGATTCAGACAACGTCTGCTTCTCTTCACGGTTTTCGTGCCACTTCGAGCCACTTTGTACCGGTTGTCTCCGCGCCCTGTAACATTTACTTTCTATTCGTTGTCCTAATCTCTCTCGTAAATAAACAGTAATCGCGCGCACCGTTTCGGAAAGGAAACATTTCCGGTCCACGGTTCACACGAATCCTTTCGGTCGTTGGGGTCGATAGAGCACGGTGTGGTCTACTATTTTAGAAACACCGTGCACGATGTACGCGGTTCGGAAATGTGTTTCACGTTTTCGTCGGTATCGCGACAAATCCCTTGGATCTATCACCGAGTCGATATTTTCCACCTTGTTCGAAAAACGAGACGACTGCTTCGACGAAGAAGAAGAAGAAGAAGAAGAAACAAGACGCCTGCTTCGAAGAAGAAGAAGAAGGAGGAGGAGGATGCTCGAGATCGATACGAGGAAAAGCAAACTCGGTATTTGTTCTTTAAACATGCGAGTGTCGATATAAATACTCCAAAACCTACCGGCCAACTAATTAGTTTACGTTAGTCTCTAATCTTTCTGTTCGCACGTCCTCCGCTGTTTAATTTAGGTCGTCGAAGGAATTTTCTGGAATCGTCGCACGGTGGAAGTTTTCGAAATAACGATTTAGCGATGGGTGTCGGTGTCGGCGACAGTGTCGTTGTCGCGTGCTCGCATTTCTCGTGGAGACCACGCGGCGAGCTTACACCCTCGTCCTATAATGTAGGCATCGGCCTCATTAAGGGGATCAGCTGCGGCGTATTGTCGACGCTAACAAGCGCTAAATAGAGTACCGAGTGAAATCCTGTGGCGACACCGAATCTCCGCACACGGATAGGCACGGACAATTACGAGTATTGTCGGGCGACAGCTTTCGCGAAACCTGGACGATTCGAGGAAAAGCTTCTCCGAAATTTCGACTCTCAGACGGGCCAATTTTCGAAAGAAGCGATCGGTCGATTTTCAATTAGTGAAATCGTTACGTGTGATGTTAATCTGTAATTTTCTATGTAGGTATACAGGGTGTCCCAAAAGTCGGGGAGGAGCCGGAAGAGAAAACACCGACCAATCAGAGCGCGCGTAGACCGTTCGAGCGGCCGCGCTCATT